TTCTTTGGCTCCATCCCTGCACTGTTGAGATGCAGTCCCAGGTTCGAATCCCCATAATTCTGAATTGTCTAGGGCGGCCCCACCACGCCCCGCCACACGACATCTGGGCTGTGGCCAATCTGGGGTGTGGCCGAGACATCTCGGCTGTGGCCAATATGGGGTGTAGCCAAGACATCTCAGCCGTGGGCAATCTGGGGTGTGGCCAAGACATCTCGGCCATGGCCAATCTGGGGTGTGGCCGAGACATCTCGGCCATGGCCAATCTGGGGTGCGGCCTAGACATCTCGGCCGTGGCCAATACTGGGTGTGGCAGAGACATCTCAGCCATGGCCAATCTGGGGTGTGGCCGAGACATCTCAGCTGTGGCCAATCTGGGGTCTGGCCGAGGCATCGGCCGTGGGCAATCTGGGGTGTAGCCGGGACATCTCGGTTGTGGCCAATCTGGGGTGTGGCCGAGACATCTCGGCCGTGGCCATGGGGCTGAAACACCTTTTTTTTTGGTTTTCCAGCTGAGGCACAGCGCGGCGGGATTCTGGCCAGATGCATTCCTGGAGGCACTACTGTTAATGCCCTGCTCGTTCACGGCTTCACCGCCCTGCGGGCGACCTGCTTTTCAACTTCGTTTATTTTTTTTTCGTTTTTAGCAACTGTCAGCTGTCCGGTTTTTTCTTTTGTCGTCTGCACGTCTGTTCTCCGTGGAAAACGCCCTGTGCTCGTTGGCAGGGCACGAAATCAAGTGTGTCAGCAGCAAGAAAAACACAACAACACACCAAGGAACGAACGGAGCTAATATTCTGGGCAGATGGATTCGTGGAAGCAGCACTGTTAGTGATGTTTATGCCAAGTAAGGTTTTTTTTGCCGATTTGAACTTCGACTACCAGGACATTGCCATTTAGTGTTTTTTTTGCCATTTTGAACTAAAAGTGTGACCCAGGAGCAGTTTTCCCAAAAAAAAAAGAAGAGTGTGGCAATTCATAGAATAGCGCAAAATGTGAGGCTCGACTCTCGCGGAGGACATAATGTGCCAAATACAGGAAAAACTGGAATGCCCAACGGAGCATCCAGCATCGCCTTTCTTGTGGCAGATTCATTCGCTTTTGTTTTCTTTTTTCTTCTCTTTTTTCGACAACAAACCTTTTTCTTAATTTTTTTAGAAAATACAACGGGGCCCCTCACGAACCCCACTACCGTCTCTGGGGGTCAAAACCCCCCTGGCACCCCCCACTTGGCCCAAATACGTTGGGATGGGAACCGTCCGTACGGATGTACGCCCGTCTGTCCAGACGGCCCATTCGCAGAGTCTGACCCCTCACAATGGCCTCACTCTGGCGGTGAGGTCGAAACCGGTAGGGACGATCACCAGGAATTCTTTCTCTTTCACGCTTTTTCTTTGTTACATGAAAGGTCTCTTTGCGCTCTATCTCGTGTGACTCTTCCCTTTCTCGACACTCTTCTCTCTTTTTTTCTCCCTCTCTCTCTCTCTCTCTCTCTCTCTCTCTCTCCCCATCTTTTCTCTCACTATCATTCCCTCTGTGTGTCTCCTATACGAGCTGATGGCATGGTCGAACTTTCTGATCCTAGAGCACGAGCAGGTGACGATCATTCTTGGCTTTCCACGGTCAGTCGCGGGGTAGATCCCCGACGAGTCTGGAATCACGGTGCTATGCACTCTGCTTCTGTACTTGACCAAGGGAACAGCGGTGACTGCCACCAACGGGCACAGCAGCATACTGGAAAGAGGCAAGGTACCTGTAGGGCCATATGGATTTTTTTGGGCCTTGTACTCAACGGCAATCCCATAGGGGCATGCTTGGCATTTGAACACATTTCAGGCCCAAACGACGCCGGGGGTCTTTCGGAAACTCGATTCATTGCAGAGGGGCATGACAGTGTTAGTCGGCGGTGTGAGGGGCATGCCGCAAGTAAACGGATTGCAGAGGGGCATTTCGAAAGATTTTCCAACAAAGAAAAGAAAAGAAAAGAAAAAAACTACTTCTCACATGCTTGTCGCGTTTAGGAGTATGTTCCCTGCCGCGAAGGAGTACCGTCCCTGCTGCCAAACAAAGGGCAGGGGCCTGGTCCCATTAGCAAAGAGGATCGGATCGAATGCCCGAATCTGGATGAGTTTTATGCAGAGATGAGGAAAAGCAGTTCAATCTCGATTTCCTGCACCTCTCTAAAAACACGTCCAGTCGCAGGCATTCGATCCGATCCTCTTTGCTAACTAATGGGACCACGGCCCAGGTGTACGATCTGCAAGTGGATGGAAAAACGGTAAGACGGGATCTTCTCACGGGCTTGTCCCTTTGAGGAGAAGTATGTTCCCTGCCGCGAAGGAGAATTTTCCCTATTTGCAGACAAAGGGCAGGTGCATGATCTGCAAGAGGATGGAAAAACGAGATGGGATCCGACAGGAATGAGGGGCAGAATACGCATTCCAAAGGGCGTCGTTGAATTCGGCCGGCTTTCCCGTTTATCTGCCGCTAAATTTATGTGAGCTGCATCCACACTGGCAAAGGGTACGCCTGTAAGCTGCTTTCCGCCCCGAACCGAGCACACCCGCTTTACAGCAGTTGCATGTTTTTTTGGGATGTTGATGCGCTGTGCTGGGGGGACAGGCAAACTTCACCTCCGGCTCTGTATAAAGGCGCATTAACGGGCACTCTGCGTACAGTGCGCTGCGATTTGCGTACTGATCGTGGGCGGTCTTTGGGGATCGCAGGCGGGAGCTCCAAGAAGTGGCGTAGGCTATCTCTTCTTCCACGGCATTTCAGCCGAGGAGAGGGAGCTCAAGGGGCGACTCCAGGCGAACAGCTCCGGGAGCGGCGAGTTGGGGAGGGCGTTATCTGCTGCCATCGTCGTAACAGCTCATCTGTAGCTGGGCGCGCGGAGACAAGAGCAAGGTGAGACGAAAGTCGAAGACGAAGAGGGTCACGCACAGGGTTTTCCAGTCCGTGTCTACGATGGCGGCGATGGTGGTCCTGCTGTTGCTGGGGCTTCTCCAGCTTGCCGTTCCTGGACTTGCTCAAAGTCCACCACCTGGTACGGTAACGATGGAAAGCTTCACCTATTCTGGCTCTGGCTGTCCGCCCGGAAGTTTCCTAGGCGCAGTCTCCTCCGACGGAATGACGTTCACTGGACTTTTAAACAATCACACGGCGTTCACCCCAGGAAGTCCAGATGACCAGGTGAAGAAATGCCAGGTGGCCGTCAGGCTGACCTATCCTACTGGGTTCGTGTTTGCTCTGGAGACGGTGACATTCCAAGGGTACGCTCAATTCCAGGAAGGGGTCCAGTGCTCACTGGAAGCCGGGAGCTTCTTCTCAGGTATCCCTGGGACAGTCAGAACCTTGCGCTATTTGCCACCTCCCGTCGACGACAACTTTCAGTTCACGGACGCGTTCGCTACCTTTCTCTACGCACCGTGTGGCAGTGACTCGATGACGCTCAATGTCTATTCCGAGGTTAGAGTAGTGCCTCCACCCCCGCCGAGGAATTTCAGCTCGGGCTTCATCGACATCGCCTCCCAGGATTTTCATCTGCGCTGGAAGACGTGCTGAAGGGAATACTCGTATTAAAGCGTTTCTGGAGCATCTGGCGGCAAATGCAGCCAGATCCAGTTCAGAAAGTAGTAATGTGAGCATGGCCTAAGATGATTTAGCCAGGCGTCAACAACAGGGGGGGGGCCGGTCGTTCGACATCAGCAAGCTACTTGGAGAGGAGCAGAATGAGCGACCGGGAGGGGCTCAGCTTGGAGAGATTAGTGGATTAATCTATCGGTCCGCAGCTGCATGGTATTGTCCGGGGCGCGTCACTGAGCGTGGTCAGCTAAGAACTGGCGACATCACCGACGCAGGCGATCGGAGGTGTGTATGTACAACAGCACTTTGCTGATGGAGCTCAATAGGAAGCCTACTCAGTTGTGGAACTGGTCACTCAACGATCATTATAATTATGTATATAGAGTACGTATTTAATGTCTGGCAGGCGAGCGAGTTTCCACGTCATGTAATTTCTAAACCTGGAAAAGAATACGCTGGCATCTACGACTTCCGGTGCTCGGGAACACCCCAAGCCGAGTGCGAGAACTGTTGGGTAAAGATGAAGTAGACGGGCGTAGCGAGCAACAAGGCAGGCTACTTGTCTCTCTCTCTCTCTCTCTCTCTCTCTCTCTCTCTCTCTCTCTCTCTCNCTCTCTCTCTCTCTCTCTCTCTCTCTCTCTCTCTCTCTCTCTCTCTCTTTTTTTTGTTCGCTAGCGGGCTTGCTCGTTCGCTTGCCCCATGAGTTTGTGTGTGACGCACAATTTCAGAATGTGGCCACAAGAGTATCTCGACCGCGGAGGCACGAAGTGCGATATTAGCGTGAATATGATCTCTTCTCGTACAGAAGAATCGTCTTTTCCAATGAATTCCTGCATATGTTAGCCTTCTTGAAATCGGTGCATTGTTCTCCTGTATCAACGTGTTTGCGTGTCCCCCCACAAACTGTCGTGATTGGAGTGCGTCTGTGCGTAGCACGAGTTGTTGGTTCCCTTGGAGTGTATGCTTAAATGCTTTGCTCTTCCCACCAATTGGTATGAGCCTTTTTTTGTGTTTGCGCTCGCTGGTTCTCGATCTCATGGGCCTACTGTCTCTCAACGCTTTTTTAACGAACAGACACACTTAGCCTTTGTACTCGCTTGTGCTTGAACGCCCAACTAGTAGAAGAGTAAATGGAATTCTCCGCGAGGAATATTTTCGTTTTCCGCAAAAAAGATCAGCAGGCAATCTATATTCCTGATTTTCCTTTTTCCTCTTGTATTCTTCCTATTCATTACATTTCATACCTGTATTTACTTCTTAGGAAAATTTGTACAAGCTCTCTTATATGCTGAAATACCCCCCAAAAGATGTGGGAAGATGGCAACACCCCTCTGAAATTTCAATGGGAAATTTTCCAAAGCCTTTGAAATGCCCTGTTGGATTTAAATCTTTGCGATCTACCCCTGTCCGGTGGAGGTGCAAGTATGCATTCTGCCCCTGACAGGTGCATAGCACAAACACAGCAACCCGGCGCCAAGAGTTTAATTCAAGCGAAAGGGCATTTCACAAACTTCTGGAATTTCACATGAACGCCCCTGTGCAAGGATGACGGTCAGAAATCCCGAAATGGTCCAGAATTTTCAAAGGGGAGAGAAAACACAGAGGGGTTTTCCACTCTACCGACATCTTTTAGTAGGGGAATTTTACCACATACGCTCCAACTTCTTCACTGTGCAAATGGTATTTCGCAACTTCCTCCCTTTGGCTTTCCTGATGGACTTTTGTATTATTATAAATGAGCTCACCGCCCAAGGCAACAATCAGAACATCAATCAAGTTCCAACAGCGACCGAATAGTCGGGAAGCCGACGGCCCAGCAGCGGATGTAGCCATGTACATCATCTCATCTAACGACTACTAACATCGAACAGGTGATTACACATCTAAGTATGTATCAGCCGCGGTCATGACCATGGGGCCGCTGACGGTATGCGGTTGCGATCATGACCGCCGGGCCCAACTGCGGCCGCGAACCCCGATATTTTTAACTCGTAGGGAAATAGGAGAAATATATTATGTATATATGTTTTTTTTTTATTTTTTATCATCGGACTAACCAGCCCAGGTAAATTCAATACTGTGTCTAATCTGACATCGGGTGGCCTTTTCAGCCCAAGGTGGCCTTGATTGCCTTCAGGGAACCCCCACCGGCTATGTGACACCTGACACCCCCGGCCTAGGCCGCGGGCATTTCGGCCGCTGCAGGCGAGATTCTCGGCCGCGGCCAATGAGGCCCTGTCGGCGGCCTGGTTTTTGGGATAATCCGTAGAAGGCGCCCACGCCGAAACCTTTTCGGTTTTGGCCGCCCAAAGTTTTGGCCGCCCAAAGTTAAGCGGTTTGGTACCGGCCCAATGACTTGCATGTTGCATGTGGGGTACTACAGGCCCACGCGTCGCTCCAAGGGCCCTACCGGATCATGAATCTGGCCCATAAACAGCACCAGATTCATTTTCATGTAAAAGAGGCCGGGGGTGGTAACGCTGAAGTGTGCGATTTTGAAAAAGAAGGGCCCTACCGGTTCATGACTCTGGCGCGGAAACAGCGCCAAATTCTTGAACCGGTGAAAACAGGCCCAAGGAGATGTGGCCACGGCGCGAAGGTGCCTCTCACCAATGGGGAACGTTGTTTGGGCCGGTAGTACCAAACGGCCGAACTTTGGGCGGTCAAAACCGAAAAGGTTTTGACATGGGCTCTTTCTACCAATTATCCCCTGGTTTTTCAATATTTCCCTCCCCCCCTAAAAATATGTGGAAAAAAAAAAATGGGGGTGTAGGGCATGGGAAACCTTACACTTCTATATCATTTTTTTTTTGGAATCCGACTTTGTTTAAGATTTTTAGAAAATCAAACACTGAAATCGATTTAAACAAAAAATAAATAAATAAAATAAAGAAAAGCACGAATTTTTTTTGTCATTTTTTATCATGAGATATTTGATCCCCGAGTCGACCTGTGTTTATTTTTTAAATGAATTTCTGTGTTTTGTAGGGAAATGAGGTGTTTAAAAAGAAATGCAGATGCAAGATTTGAAAACACATAAACAAAAAAAGGGATTGATTGATTGATTGATCTGATTTGATTGATTGATTGATTGAGTGAGTGAGTGAGAGTGTGTGTGTGTGTGTGTGTGTGTGTGTGTGTGTGTGTGCAATCAGACTCTCTCTCTTCCACACTTTGCATGCATGCAAACAGGTGTGCAGCAAATTGGCGACATGCGCCCACTCAGAACTCAGAGATATGGTACCGAGAACACAGTTCAGGTTCAAGTTCACTTCGAATGGCTATGTGTGTGTGTGTGTGTGTGTGTGTGTGTGTGTGTGTG